CGCCCACCACTCACTGTTTTTATGTAGTAGCGCTAGAGCTTTTTCATGTAGTTTTGAGACAACTGGAACGATAGGGCAGGCTCTTGGCACACAGATGTTGCCAGAGAGGCCGGGCAGAGCTGAAAGAGATGCTGTTGGGGCAGCAGGGGGGAAGGAGATTTTCCTTCCCTAGATTTGACATTGGCAGTTACCACCACCGCTTCCTCACCACACCTCCATGGTCCTGTGCATGATGGACTGTGCATGCAGCAGTTCTCCCTGTGATCCCTGTGTGTAGTACATGTCCCTTCCCACTGCTCACTTCCAAGATGGGCTCCGTGACATGCCTTGGAAGAACCACCCGCCGCTCTGCCCCCTCTGAGGTTATGCAGCAAGAGTGGGCTAAAAGCTGGGCAAGGGGGACAGACTTCCCGGTATTTTCTGCTTGAAAAATGCCAAGGTCCTGCCTCTCCCTTGGAAATTATCACTTAGGTGTGGTGGATCCACTTCAGTGGCTTTGAAGTGGGCGGGAGCCTGCTTTGACTCCAAGCCTGCAGAATGGGCTCAGAATACACCAGGCTTTTTAAATTGCTTCCTTAACAAGCTGTTTCTGACTACAAGAAATCCAGTTGCTTTACATTTCTCTGTTGTAAGCAGAGGCCAGCTATGGGAGCCAAGTAGGGCAGGTTTGCATTTCTCATACCAAAAGAAAAAAAAAAAAAACAACAAACCCACAGAAATACACCAAACCATCACACACAGTTGGGAACAGCACACCCATTTCATGCCAGTTCCCCTTTACTGCTAGGCTATCTACACTCCAGATGATTTAATACCATGTTGTGGCTGGCCAGACGGTATCAGCTCTCTACAAAGAAAAAATACTATAAAAATAATAATAATAATTAAAAAAATAAAAATATCCATAGCGTTATGTCCAGCTTGTAAATTGGAGCCCAACTTACCAGCTGGGAGTGACTGTGTAAGTGCCAAGTTACCTGCATGACCAGCTATTTGCCCTGGGCCAGATCCTGCAGCTCTCAGATCAGGGAATGCTCCTATTGACCTTAAACAGAAGGTCTCCAGCTTTCTGTAACCTTGAAGTTCTGTGTTGGCAAGGGGGTCCCTGTGGAGTCGTGGCACATAGAGTAGTTAGGTGCTGTGTGCTGTGCAATAGTAGTGCCTCCTGTATCACAAGTGTAGCTCCTACCAGTACTCAGTCAGCAGTAGGGACAGCAGGCCAGTGCACTCTCTCTTTTACAAACCTTGTTCTGGGTATTTCAAAGCTTTCCGTATGGGCAGCATCGCGTGTTCAGCCTCTCCGACGTCCCAGGACTCGCTGCAACCCCACCTTACAAAGCACATCCATTTCATTAGACAGGGCTTGCAAGCAATACTTGAGATTTAGGAGTTTTTAAGTGTTCACTGATGATACTTTCTCTACCCATTTTGAATCTCTCAGTGTTTTATGAAAAGCCTGGAGGTCCTGCAGTTAGCACACAGCTGTGAAAGTTAAAGGGAACCGAGATGGTTTTGTGAACAAAAGTTTCAGGGTTATTTTGGGGCTTTTAAATCGTAAGGAAAATCTGCTTCTAGTAGCTAACGAGCCTTTAGCTGTCTGATTCTTTTAATCTTGGAGCCTTGTCTGGGGCCATTTCAGTGACACTGCCTTGTGGTCCTATTTTGTTGTGGTTTAAGCGTTTTGTTTAGAAGAGTTGTTCTTACACGTAACAGAAATAAATCTGGCAGTCAAAACGAAAGAAAAAGATAAAAAAGAAAAAAAAAAGAAGCACTGTGATCCAGGTTACTGCAGTCTCCTTGTGACTAATTACCAGGTAGAGGGGTTGGGTTTTATGTGAGGGAATGCTTTTTGTAATGTTCTCTTTTAAGGAAAACTAACAACAAAAAAATATTTGTATAAAAAGGGGCCATTAGGTGAGCCAGGCTGTGGGCCAGGCTGTGGGCCAGGCTGTGGGCCAGGCTGTGGGCCAGGCTGTGGGCCAGGCTGTGGGCCAG